ATAGTTATTTGTTATTAATTACTGCTAAAAGGGAATGTGCCTTACTGCTGGGCACAACTCACCATGTAGCCAATCTAGCATTCTGGTTCTATAGAATTTAATCAATTCTACCATCATTACAGAAGGTTCAGTGTCACCCTAGAAAGGCATAATTTGAGTGGTCAATTGTTTCTGGGATATCACAGAAACATGATGAAATCTGCAGAAGAAGAAAAAAACCCTTTGGAATTACTAAATTAACTTACTTAGATTGGAGTTCAAGCCATTTCCAGATGGCCCCAGACCATGGTATTATGCAGCCAGCAGAAGACAAGGTACAGAGTATGGACATTTTTAGTTCATTTTGTAAGGAAAATGGAAGCCTTAGGGTTTTTTGTTTGTTTGTTTGTTTTTACGGTTAGTGGCTATAGGAGAAACAGAGAGACATGTAGTAGTGTTTCCAATGTCTTTGCTGTTACTGAAAGTAGTTCTGTCTTATCTACAATCTTTCAATAAGACTATTATTTGTTTACCGCCAACACAGTTTTTTTAAAAAAGGCATGGTGAAAAGCAATAAAATTATAGACATAGCACCTTAAGGAGTTGAGAACCTATGAGGGTGATAACCATATAAGTGCTATAAACACAAGCCTGTATACCAATATATAAAACATTAGGAACATATAGAAAGTACATTTTAACCTAGATGCAGGCAAGAGAAGGATAGGGAAATGCTAGGCTTCTTAAATGTGACATCTGTCCTGAATTTTAAGAAATTGTTCTTTCACAGCAAAGCATAATTCACTAAGAATACATTGTACTCTATTTTTATTGTGCTAGTTGAACCCATAATGATTTCTACATGATCCATACCTAAAGAGGCAGATCTCTGTTTAACGGGTTATCTATGTGCACATGCCAGTACTGGGATGAATCATTAAAGAACTTTTTTGGACTCATCCATTCCAGTTGGTTGACTGTAGTCCTCATTCTGGCTTAGAGTATACAAGATTAAATTAAGTGGCAGCTCCCACTCTTCTTTATCTCCTCTACAGTGAGCTCAATTATTCACCCTTCATTCTAAACACTTAATTCTTTTGTAAAAATAACAAAATCTGCAATCTAATAGTGTACAATATAAAAAACTTCAGTAAAATTCTGATTTCATCTTTCTGTGTGTCCTCTCTTTCAGATCCTTTTGTGATACTGAAGACATTCATTCTTATGGAAACCTGAACATACCTCATACATATTAACTCTTTATCTTGCTCACTAAACTATGAGTGTTTTGAGATTAGGATTGTGTCTTCTTTTCACCCTCACCTTCTTAGTACCATTCCTAGTTCACATTAAACATTCAGTCAGTATTTACTCAATGAATAAAAACAAAATAAGGTATAATATTGCCTCTTAAGGTATGTTTTAGACATGTCCAGAAGTGACTTTGCAGAATTTTGTTTATATCACATGTCTTTATTTCATTTACATCTGATTATTTCTGTCATGATCACTGATCAAATGAACAAAAAAGAAATTATACCCTCTAGCACATCTAAAGATTATTACCCTAAAGCCATGATAGACATGATAGACAATGAGACTACAGGATTTCCCAAGACAAAAAAATATTCTGAAATATTCTAAGCTCAATTGTAAATAAGCAAATCTGAAATTACAGCAATATTCTCAGATGAAATTGGATGCATAATTTATTTCCTAAATATTTATTTTCTTTCTCTTAGAATTTTGAAATGAGACAAATAAAATGAATGGCCCGTTCTATAGGAGATCGCAATTTAGTAAAGGAGATGACAGACATTAATCATTATTGCTAGTTCATGCTTTCAATGTTCCCAATGCATTTTATACAGACATGGATTGGTCTAAGTATTCAGTGGAAAAAGAAAACTTTTTAAGTAATTTTAGAAGTTGAAAATCACAACCATCAGCATCACAGAGGTCATGATATTTTATAGAAATATGTTTCTTAGCTGAGTGTGGTAGTCCACATTTCTAATCTTACCACTTCAAAGATTAAGGCGGAGTTGGATCAAGGGTTTGAGGAGGCTAGCGTGGACACTGTCTCAAAACTAAAACTACATAAACAAACAATAATAATCTTCGAAACAAAAGGCAACAACAATCTGTTAAATCTTAAAAACAAATTTTGTCAGAGAAATAGTGACATTCTTATTTATAACAAAATCAAAGCATTCATTTAGTTCAAAATCCTTCACTTCTGCAAACATCAGATATTTACAGAAAACTGTGATTGAAGGACTAATGTTCCTATAAGCTCAGAGTATGCATATTTCCTTAACCAAAAATGTATTTGCTCAACAAGTTCCTTACCATACTAGACAACAATGTCCAGAGCTAAAACATCAGATAGAATCCTAGAAAACCACTAAGAAATCATCGAGGCCTAGGATACTTGAAATTCATACAATTTGTCTAACTAGCATAACCAGATATGAGAACAGAAAAACTATCCAACAGGAATTTATTTTCAAACTGCATCTAAAATAAAGAAATAAATAAATGTAAACTCCAGAGTAACAATCTTATTTCATATACCTACAAATTGATTCATCATCTCCATATATTAATATGTACTATTTCAACTTGAGCAATATACATACAAATGATGGCTTAAATGTTGATATGGAGCCTAATGGTTAATAAATGCTAGGTACAGGTATTTTTTCTGAATGAAGAATATAAATGTGAAGTTTTTGTTATTCAAATAAATGATGCCATTAATTTGCATGTGGTATAAAAATCCAAGAAAGATCATGAAGCAGGACACCTAATTGACAGTTTTATTTATATGAGACTACAACAGTAAGAAAATCATAGCTCAGCTAACTCCCCTTTTAGCCAATAAATCAGTCACTCTTTTACAGTTTCATGCATCACAGGAAACTCACTCTTAATGTCTTTGGTGATATACCATTCTATGAATTTTTAGCCTTTATTTGTAAAATATGTATTTCTCATTTGCCTTAACAGTAATAATGAAACCAAGTAATTAATTATATTTGTTAGTTTAATATAAAGAAATGGACTGTCTTCAAAGTTTTTGATTTGTAAAGTGAAGAGAATTAGAACTTGAATAGGTACACCAATTATCTTAAATTCTTTAGAAACCATCTCATTCTTTCAGTGTGTTACTCTGTCATTGCTATCAATGTTTATTAAACTGAATTCCTCAATATTTCTATTTGCTATCCTTAGTATCACTTTTTATTCTCATGACAGTTAATAATGAGAGAGCAGATTTTAAAAACTGTAGACTGAAATATCCTATCATTCTTTCTAGTTGGTCCTGCAATTCATTGAGAAATAGCTCTAAAGCCTTAAACAAGGCCTTTATTTAGTGTTTTTAAAAAAGTGTCATAAGGAGTTAATAGGACACAGCTGTACTGGTTCTTTCTAATAAGCAGCTTCTGTCGCTTTGGTCACCACAGGTGTCTCTGTAACCTGCAAACTCTTATTACTAGTGTATCAAAGTTGTGCTACTTAACAGACTTCTTTAGTAAAATATAACAAAGCAATTACATGGCTGTTGATTGCCAGTCATAAAAAAAATCCTCAAACACTGTTTTTCAAAAGAAACTACACTGCAATTTTTTGTCATTGTAAAATAAAAGGAACTAAGGAATTAAATGGAGGATAGAACAAAATAACAGCAGGTAGCCCACTGAACTTAGCCACTACAGATGGTTTAGAAATAGTGTTTCCTTCTCCATCAAGTTGTAGATAAAAGAAAAGGGGGAGATTCCTTACTGCCAGTGAATGGCAAAAGATTTAGCCAAGTCTACAGTCTTATGTATTTTGCCTCATGAAAGACCTTCGATGCTGCATTTTTATCTGTTTTTGGCACTGCTTTTCATCACCTTTAACTGAGTGTGAATAATAACCTGATTTAATTTAAACAAATACAGGTGCTAAAGGTTCTTTATTTATGTATAACACGGAACATTTCCAAGGCAGAACGAAGTCATTCTAGGAAATTTCCTAACCATTTGCTTAAAGAAATGAAGTATTAGATGAAGAAATTGCTTCAACATTCTTTTGCTTCACATTTAAGGGAAGAATCATCTTTCTTTTCAGATTCAGAGTACATTAAATGAAGTCTGAATGTTGACCAAAACTTCAGTGAGCCATAAAATAATATAAAGACAAATCAGATGATTTCTAATTGTTCTATAATCGCTTAAATTAGGTAACTATAATAGGCTTGCCTTGAAATGAATTAATTTAATCTCCCTGTTTAAAAGCCAGAAGCCTGTGATTATGGCTGTGTTAACACACCCAAAATAGCATCATGGGATGTTATGGCCACATGTGTAATTAAACATGATGAATACAAATTTCATATGGGAACCCTAAGAAGCAAAATAATGAAGAATTATCACTTACAGATACTATGATTAACAAACTGAGTAAACTTATACTGACAACTAGGAAAGGGATTTTTTTCCCCCTATTGAGAATATGGATGCATTGCTGGCTGTGTGCAAAAGAATGTGTGCAATAAAGCGATCACATCAATTAGCATATGCTAGAGTTAAGCTATTACCAACTTCGCTGGACTAGTCCAGAATGTTCTGCCTTCACTAAAGTTATTAAAAAATAAACAGTACTAGGATTATATATTAGACATGCTACTATTAGCTTTTTATGAATATAATAGAACACTGATTTTCTTGAAATAACCCAACTTATTAGAAATGTACTTTAATCTGGGTTAGTAAAAAGACAAAAAAGCACATTTTGGTTTTCAAGTTATACTTGAGTTTGAAGAAGAGTCTTTTTTTAAAAAATATATAAGGTAAGGTATGTTTTTCACAAGTTGTAATAACTGTAGGTGTTAGCTATAATAAATAGCTTTTATCTAATAATGGCAGATAACTTAATGCTGAATATAAAAAATGTTTATGATGACAAGCCAAACACAATGACTTTATTGTATAAAAACAAATGCGCAACTTATAACTTGTGAACAACAGTATTACCTTGCTCTGTTGGCGTCCTTTGTCAGATCCCAAGCCCAGGTTATAAAATTTTGACTCAGATAAGAAACAATGGATTCAGCACAAAGCATTTGTGAGCAGAACACGTTGGTTAGTACACTTTCATCGTGGTGGAGGTAGATAGCAAGAAGCTTTCTCTGAAAAGAGGAAAAAAGACCAATTAAAATATCTCATAAAGTAAGGTGTCCTGAATTTTGGAGAGGAACATAAATGTATTATGAACAGCAGAGAAAAAATTAAAAGCTATTTCCCAACAAATCTACTAGCATGAATAAATTTTGCTCCCTTACACTTTAAAAGAGGATAATTATATCTAGTGTTACAGAGTGCTATATCAGAGTTCTGCTAACATGTTCAAATCCATCTCAAGCAGAAACTGACACAGAAGTTCATTTTCTTTAAATAAATCAGATTATTCTTTACCTTTAATGCATATTTTATAAAGGAAAATACTAACTCTGAACTACTCAACTACATATAACAGTCTCTTCCACTTGAAATGATCTGAAATAAAAGTTTTGCTTTAGTTCTACAAGCAATTTCAAAGCTCTTATTTATGGGTATGTAAAACTGCCATTTGAAAAGATGATAGAAAAACATTCAATCTGCATGAATTCTTTCTAGCTTATATTTCAGAAAATGACCAATGTGATTTCTTATATGGATAACTGTTCCTGCTCCTTTTTATAATAAAGTGTACCTTCACAAAATGGTTTACTATCTTCTTGGTGCTACCTATGGAAGAGAGGCGTTTAAGAATACACACAGTGCTAGAAAAGATAAAATTTTATGGTTCACAATACACAAACTAATTTATATAAATCTGCCAAAGGAAAACTTCAAATTAGCTTTTTTTTTAGCTTCATAGTAAATAAGGATGTGATAATAAGTAAATAAAATTTGCTGTGAAATTCTAAACAAAAGAAAGAATCTATGGAAAAATATAAAGCTTACGGTGATAAAAGGCTAATGAAGTCTGATTCTTGGAACAAACCTACTGTAGAATCCAAATTATAATCAAACAGAAAAGTAATAATGAAATGTTTAAATATTTTCTTTAAAGGAAAATTTTGCACTAGATGAGAATAGCTAAGTAGAGGTAGACAGAATAAAATTCCAAAAGCATCTACTATCACTAGAACAGAGTTATTAGTTGCTTTTGCAACTACTTTCTACCATAATCTCCAGAATAACTTTGTAAAGTAGGCACTGGTAACTGCACTAATATACAAAGAAACTAATGATTTGAAAGATGACTTGTCTGAAAGTCCACAGCTAGGTAGGATGAAATACAGCTCGGAATATAAACTATTTTCTCTGAATCCAAGTCTTTCTCTGCTAGTACAATGGTACCAGGGAAATCAACCGTACCATGGCTAAGACATGTGGGAGGAATTATCTAATATGAAGATGCCAGACAGCTTATAACATCAGAGCTCTGAGCCTCAGAGACAGCATGTAACTGGAATAAGGATAGGACTGAGCATAAATAGCTCAGCAGATTCTACCCTGATTGTATGTGTTAATTCCTTTATTCATTCATTCAACAAACACTTATTGAAATTCTCATTGTGTCATGCCTAGCAGGAAGCACAGACATAACAAGACAGATTCAGGGTTTTTTGTGAATGTTGACATCTACAAATAACAATTGCTTGGGCTTCAAGGAAGTTTGTAATTAGATACATTGTTGAAGTGATACTTATCTAGTAAATTCCCAACTCATCCTTTAAGATTAAGAGCAAATGCCTCTATGAAACCTTTCCTGTTCCAGACAGGCAGAGTTAAGTGCTTTCTTTCCACCTCTCCAGCTCTTGTCCTTAGTATTATAATTGTTTACCAATTTCCCTCTAGACTAAATCTCTCCTGAGCTAGGACTGGGTCTCTCAAGTCATTTTTGCATCGTTAAACTAACATAAGTGTTAGTTTGTTTGATGAAAGAAACTTGAGCACTGATGTTAACCACAGCCCCTGGCAAAAAAGACACCAAATGGCAGTGACAAAGATTAAATCACTTTTGTTAAATAAATCAGGGATCTGCTGCTTTAAGGAAAGGAACATGAATCTGGCAGCACTAACAAATTCAGAGCTTCTCTTCTTAGAGGCTCTCTAGCTGAATAGACAGTGGGATGTCAACCTCTAATTCGACTTGATCGTATCTCAGCAACTACATTTAATGAGACACTGAGAACAAGAGAGCTGTCCACTTTTAAATCAGCATATTTCTAACTAAACAATAGCAATGGCTAAATCTTTAAAATGCTATTTCTCTCAAGAACATTGCAATGGAACATTTAGACTTTGAGAAAGAGATTAGTGATTTACATTGCTATCTCACTGATTTAATTTAAATGCTCATCCAAACCAAACACACATGTGCCCAAGAGGCTACTAAGAAACCCAACATGCAGAGTTCCCTATAAGTGCAGCTGACAGTGTTGACTGAAACTAAACTTGGAAATCCAGGGCACTAATGCACAATATCAAGCAATAAAACAGCATCTCTTTGGCAATATTTAATTTAAAAAAGAAGAAAGAGGCAGGCGAAGATCAGGCACTGTCTGTTTTGGAGGATCAACCATTCTGCATTTCAAAGCATTGGTCCCTGCAATATCCAGGTTACTGTGCTAGAATCTCGACTATTATATCGCAGTTGTGAGAGGGAGGGCAAAGATGTGTTTACTCAGTGATTAGGCCCTTAGAATAAGCCTCTAGCTCCTAGAGAGACAGCTCACCACTTATTCATTTGGGCCAATTCACAAAGCCTAGGAAGATTAAACATCCATGCTGAGAAGACAAGCGAATGCAGACGGTGAAAAAGAAATAAAAATTCTTTAAAAACTCTGAGATGACTTCATTATTTTTCCACAAGGAAACTTTAGGAAAGTGTTTAGTTAAAGAAAAACCCACATTGACCTTTCTCTAAACCCTTAATCTTTCCTTTGTGGTGGCACTGCTTTGTGGTAAGCGACTGGCTCGGCTTGCCCCTCTTTTCACTAGAAACCCAGAGAAAAAAGGCTCTGGAGAAACAGTTTTCGTTCCAGGGACACAACCCCCTGACACTGTTAAAAACATGAGATTCCAGGAAAACACACTTTAAAAAAAAAGTTCCCACTTTAAGCTCCAGATGGAACGTGAGAAAGAAGATGATAAAGAGTATCTTAAGAGAATCTTCAGGCTGTAGGTACTCTCATAGTAGCTTAAAAAAAAAACCCTGAATGATCTTAATCTTATCTCTCAGACACAACAACCTATCCACAAGCAATTTTCACAGGCGACTGTCACAAGTAAGAATAATAAAAACTATAATATGAAAATGCTTCAAATTCAGGTTGTGGAAATCTGATTAAATGACAGATGCAAACCCCAGAATCAGATTTTTGATTATCTTATTAAGCTCAATAAGATACAGGCCAAAACAATTTTTAAAAATTCAGAGAATTAATCGATTTTGGAGAGAGATGAAATTGTAAAGAAATCAGAAAAACTGCTTTTGTGAAGAACAGCTAGTACACAGAAAACAACATTAGAAAATGTTTTGTTTTCCGTGACCATTTTTTTTTTAAATTGAGCCATTAATAATTTAGCGCATTAGCATTCACAGAATGCTATGTGTTAGGCACTAAAAATATAAAATAAATAAAATAAAGATCCCTTGCACTTAATGAATTGAGGGAGAAGAGATATTCAGGGTAAGTAAATATCTAATGGTTTTACCATTTAACAAGTGAGAATACTAGAGCATTAAAAGGCTATACTTGGCAGGGTGCCAGTGGCTCATGCCTATAATCCTAGCTACTCAGGAAGTTGAAATCTGAAGATTGTAGTTCAAAGCCAGCTGGGGCAGAAAAGTCTGTGAGACTCTTGTTTCAGATTAATCACCAAAAAGCCAGAAATGGAGCTGTAGCTCGAGTGGTCGAGTACTAGTCTTGAGGGAAAAAGCTTATGGACAGTGCCCAGGCCTTGAATTCAAGACTCAGGACTGGCACAAAAAAGAGAAAAGGATATATTTGTATTATCTAATTTGGCAGAGAAGGTCTAAATTTCATACAGCACTAAAGAAAGCAATAGAGCTTCACTCTCACCAGCCTGTTTTCATGTCCTAGGTTTTAGTAAAACTGTAAAGAAAAAAATCTCAAAACTTTTTTTTCAAATTTTTTATTGTGATTAAGTGGTTACATAATTTCCCAAATTTCACAGTATTGTGGGATAGTGATGCTTAGGTATAGTCACAAACACATTCTAACTTTCATGGGGCAAATTGTCTATCATGGTCTATAACATTTATGAGTTCTATGAGCTTTGCAATACAGTTATTTCTTCCAAATTGGGTGATATGTACATTTCTTTTGTTTTGCACAGCATCTCAAAACTTTAAAGTAACAGAATGCAGTTCTGCCACCTATCAACGGTGCGATTATGGGTCAAGATGGGTTTGTGAGGACTATGAATTATGCTGGGCTATTATAAAAAGTATTTAGAAGGAAATATCCAGAACTACCCATGAAAAATAAATGATTTTGAAAATAATTTCAAGAGATATTAGCCATGAAAATGCACCAAAGCTCTAGAACCTCCTTGTTTTTTCCTATTGGCAACAGTGCTTGGGATGTTTATTGTGCCTTCAGTGCCTAACTAATCTTCACATTCAAATCCAGAAGTAAGGTACTAAATAAATGTGTAGCTGATAACAACCAAGCTGACTTGGCTTTGAACTATTGTAGCTATTCAAACTAAACAGTATCATAGAACTATAGACTATGAAAGAAGTGAGACATATCTCAAAAATCAAATACAGAGCAGACAGGAAACATTTGTGGATGGGCTAAAGAGGAAGTCATTTCTTTTCATGTATATGAATATCTATAATCTGTGTATTCAAGGATTTTAATATTGATGTGACAATTTCTAGAAATGGTAGCGTGGTTTGTTTTTTAAACAGGAATTTAAAAAGAGAATAAAATAGTACCCGATTTTCCCTCATTCCCATTTCTGATCTTCTTTGCCTTTACCATATCACCACCAGAATAATCACAATCTTTACTACCATTCTTTTGGTTTTGTTTTAAACTTGGGTATGGTTTGTTAATACAAACAGCTGACAAACTGATATTATCTAGATTTACCAATTATTAAC